AATAATAAGCAGTACATTAGTATAAAACGATAAAGTCGTAAAATACTAATATTTTTGCAACCATGTGACCAGGATTGATAATATTTTCTTAATTACATGTGTTATCTCCCCGTTTCGATTTTCGTCAGTTCTTATAAAGATTTTATACAAATTCAGTACCAAAGAAATCAAAGGCGAAAAAAAGGTATGCGGCATATGCTAGGATGATATAGAAATAAGGATTTGGTACGATTACCAATGAGACAACTATATATCCACCAGGGACTAAAGACGGATTTAAGCGACTTTAAGTCACCGTACGGCCTTCAACAATGAGCAAAACCAATAAGCTATAAATGGTCATGGCTTGACAAAATGTAAATCAATTTAAACGAGAAAACTAACGGTCTGATTCATGTATACAAAATAAAAAACAAAAAACAAAGCCACAAACGACAATTACTGAATATGCATGCACTAACAGAATATGGTGGGATTGAACATGTTTATGAATGCGTAACCTTCCCGAAACACGAGACTCGTGCAACATTAGAATATAAGAATAAACTGTTGACCCTTCAGTAGTAACTGAGAAGTTATACATCTGTAAGATCTTCATCAACGAGAAAGAGAGAAAATTCCACTTATAGCAGTTAAAAACTAGTTACAAAATATTACAAAAAACGCCTTCTTTACCTGAATTTATTTTTATTCATCTGGATAATTTCATATTTAAGTTTGATTTGATGTCCGTAATGTTTTCGTTTTATTGTAGCATTACCTTTTTTTGTTGGTTTTTGTTCAATTCCGTAATTTCTTCGTCCAATCAGAGTAAATATTTGTGACATCATGCATGCCGTTACCATAGTTAAGCGTCCTTTAAAAATAGGTCACACACCGACAAACAGCCATCCAAATGATATAATCTGTTACGCAGCTACCATATAAATTCATCATAGATACTAAAATTGGCAAAGCATGGATTGTCCTCAGCTTAATAAAGAATATTTCGATAATTTTACCTCAAAAAAATTTTCGCATCGGTCCTCTCGGCGAAATTTTAACTTTGCGCCCTCCTAACCTAAAATCCTGGATCCGCCCCTGACTAGGATTGAAATTTTGTATTTGCGCCAGACCGTGCGCGCGTTTCGTCTACAAAAGACTCATCAGTGACACTCGAATAAAAAAAGTTAAAAAGGTCAAATAAAGTACGAAGTTGAAGAGCATTGAGGAGCAAAAATTCCTAAAAGTTTTGCCAAATACAGCTAAGGTAATCTATTCCTCAGGTAGAAAAGCCTTAGTATTTCAAAAATTCAGAGTTTTGTAAACAGTGAATTTATAATTATGACCATATCAATGATAATTCATGTCAACACAGAAGTGCTGACTACTGGGCTGGACTGTTTCATTTAAAATATCTCATGCATATTCAAGAGGAGGGCAAGTTTAAAACAACTCAACAAGTCGTAGTTTCTTAATTGTGGGTGAAATTTGAGATGGGCTGGATTATTTTGCTATCATAATGTATTGATATCAATAGCAAAAAATTACCCTTCAAACCTTCTAAAAGTCTGTTGCTCAGCGCAAGGTGCATTCTCCAAACACGTTCCTTGCATGTAATTAACAATCAAAAATATATTGGAAATGTCTGCGTATTCATAGCCATCAGAAAACCCTTCACAGCCAACAGAACCCCAATAATTCCCCCGAAGGATTTAGTAGTAGACAACAAATAAGATGTCTTACAAAGGATACAAAATATGTTAATTAGTTTATAATATATAATTAAGATATCTTATAAAGTTTATAAGATATATTATAAAGTTTATAAGATATATTCTATATTTTATAAGATATATTATAAAGTTTATAAGATATATTATAAAGTTTATAAGATATCTAATCCAATTTATAATATTCTGTTTTAAGAACGGACAAATGGTACTTTGTCAATAAAAATCAAACAAGAGCTCAGAACTTCTATCATGCTTGACTGTTTTTGCCCTTTTTTTATATCTATTTTGCCACAACCAATAGGCTATTTTCATTTTATCGACTTTTGTCTCCAGAGTTTACATTTTTTCGTAAGGTTACCTTTTCTGTAGTAGGACATCCTGGTACTCGGTTAAGTAAGAGCAACTTAAAGAAGTAAAAATAAGCTTACACTCGGTCCATTTGGAGGGGAAATTAATTGTTTTATGCTTTCTATTCACAACAAAATCATTAGAAAAAAGTTAACGTTCCCCCCAAATTGCACCGATTATATGTTCAATTTTACTTCTTTTGGTTTGCTCTTTCTTGAAAAGGTAACCTGTCGAAAAATTATATAATCCGGAGTCAAAAGTCGGTAATATGAAAATAGTCTTAATTGTGCTTAATTGACTTTAATTATAGATAGGCACTAAGCACGAAAAAAAAAATAACATAATGACGAAAGACTTAAAATACTAAAGTAATAAATAAATCTAAAAGTACTCACAGTTTCTGAAAACTAGTTCAAAGTTCATATTTACCAAATAAATAAACCATGTTGTCCCAAACTAAAATGACAATCAGTGGACCTCCAACAGAACAAGCATTCTTTGTTTTGATATTGTTTATCGTTTAACTTGCGTTTTGTACTTTTTTTTTATTCTAAGACTTAAGAGTGCACACGCTGAAATGTCTTGCTTGCTTTGCTTATTGTGATTAAATTTATGTTGAAAGTCTGTAATATGAAGGTTTTACATCAAATATCCCATAAACTTAACATTATCAATGATCCATGTAGATGAGGTCAAGCTTTCAGTTCAGATCAGATGAACCCTGATAAACAGATATGTACACCTTACAATCTTACCATAAATCAAATCTAAATAGCCTATAACAATTGCTAATTGTATCCAAGAAACAAACCGAACTACAAAATTTGAACATTGACCAATGAATCATAAAAATGAGGTCAAGGTGAACCTTTCCAGACAACCTATTGCTTATAGTATCTGAGAAACAGATATAATCATGAAAACATAAGATTGACTAATGAACCATGAACATGAGGACAAGGTCAGATGAACCCTGCCAGACAGACATGTAAAAGAGAAGTGAAAGATACCAAAAGGACATTCAAACTAATAAGTTGAAAATAAACTGACAACGCCATGGCTAAATAGAAAAAGACCAACAGACAAACAACAATACACAAAACACAACATATGGAAACTAAAGACTGAGCAACACGAACCCCACCAAAAACTGGGGTGATTTCAGGTGCTCTGGAAAGGTAAACAGATCCTGCTCCACATGTGGCACCCGTTATGTTGCTTATGTAAGTACAAACCTTGATAAGTCTAATTCGGTAGGTCACATTCTGGGAAAAGGGGACTGGATTGTAGTTACGACAAATGGAACATATCTGTCGTCAGCTGTGAAACAGATATTCCATAACGGTCAACCAACTTGTGATGGCGTCCGTAAAATTTACGAAGGGATGATTTCAACTTCACCACATGGAACTCTTGGTTTATTAGCTTCCTTGTGAGCAGCAACCATCTTTCACGGAAATCATGATAGGAAATACAAGCCCTGGAATATCGTATCAACTGGGAGATATATACTCAGTATGCAGGCGCTGCTGCAATGTTGCTACATAGAAATGGAAAGTTCACAATTGGGAAGCTGGAATCATCTCTTTTGTCGTAAAGTTTCGTTTTCAACCGACCCTCATTGTCAATTTCTAGATTTAAGTCAAGATATGAGGCAGACTTAAATGTATCTGTTGTATCCTTTATCTAAAGTTTGATAGGATAGATGCATTCAACATAGTCACCAAATTTTGAATTATTTAGTGAGAGAATATCATCTATATAGCGGAAAGTGGAGTTAAAGGATACTGCTAACTTGGTTTCTTTCTTCCTAAGAAATTCATGTTTGAAGTCAGCCTCATATGAATAAAGAAACAAGTCGGCAAGAAGAGGAACACAGTTGGTTCCCACGGGAATACCGATCGTTTGTTTAAAAACACGTCCTTACAATCATTCTATACACCAAATATAGTTGACCTATTGCTTATAGTATCTGATAAACGGACAAAACCATGAAATCTTTACATTGACCAACTGATCATGAAAATGAGGTTAAGGTCAGATGAAACCTGCCAGACAGACAGGGTGCGGGAATTTCTCGCTGCATTGAAGACCTGTTGGTGACCTTCTGCTGTTGTCTGTTCTATGGTCCGGTTGTTGTCTCTTTGACACATTCCCCATTTCCATTCTCAATTTTATGTACACCATACAATCAATCCATACACCAAATATAGTGACCCTATTGCTTATAGTATCTAAGATATAGACCAAATTAGAAAAAATGAACATTGACCAATGTACCATGAAAATGAGGTAATGGTCAGATGAAACCTGCCAGTCAGACATGTACACCTTACAATCATTTCACAAACCCAATTATAATTGACCAATTACTTTTAGTATCTGAGATACTGACTTGACTACAAAAACTTGACTGATCCATGAAATGACGTTGAGGTCAGGTGAACCTTGTCTGAGGGACATGTAGACTTTGCAAGGAACATTTATACCAAATATAACTATTCTTTTACACATAATAAGGGAGTATTTCACATAACAAATGTGTCATTTTTTTCAAGCAGTCATGGAACCATGAAAATGTGGTCAAGGACAATGGACATCTTACAGATGGAAACTTCGTAACATAAGGCAACTGCATACAAATTATGAAGCATCCAGGTCTTCTACCTTCTGAAATTTAAAGCTTTATAATAGTTTACCCTGCCACAGTAATCCCTATGTCACTTATTCTGAGACTTTCGTTGCAGGCGTGACAAAAAGGGAGAGCTTGAAATCTAAAGAAACTAGTTTAAACCCCTCCATATAATTGTTTGCATGTCTCAAGTCATGAAACTAAACAGTGGTTGTTCTTAAGTTACCATAAATGTTTTTTTTTGTCATTTAGGGAACTTAGTTTTGATGGCAGATCTTTAATAGTCTCTAAAATTGAAAAATCTCTTATTTAGTTGGAAATTTTTTTTATTTCTGGATTTAACATATTTTTATAAAGGGATATTATGTACAAAATATACTATGCAAAAATAAATTTATTAAACATGTGGAAAATGTTGAGATATAAATAACTGCTTGGAAAAATAAAAAAAATAATACATCACAGATGTTTCTCATAAAATATCAAATAAGAATAAATATAGATTATTCCTGGATTTTGTTTTGGATCTGGGTCAGTTCCATTGAAAAAGCCATGATATTTGATTGTGTTGACATATCCAGATCTTTTCACTTGCTTTGTCACATCAACAACCCAAGGAAACACATTTCTGCCATCACACCAACCATTCCTACCATACAGCCATGTTCCATGTTCATTGGGTTCTACTCCTGTCTTGACTAGATCAGCACATCCAAATGGTGTTCCTGCATTCAAAAACAAAATATGCAAGTCTTACAAGGAAAACATGTGAAGCCTGCTATCTCCAAATGACATAAGCAGAAAAGGTTTTGCATTAAAAATCTCAAAAGATAAAACATGCACAATTTCCTTAAGAATGAAATGTGTTATAGGGAGAGTTCAGCACTTACAAAACATGTTTAAACCCACCACAATTTATATGTGCATGACCAAAGTCAGGAGCCTGTAAATCAGTGGTTGACTTTGGTTGCTGTCTGTCATATTTGTTTTTTTTATTATCATTTTGTCATAAATCAGGCCATTGGTCTTTTCATTTGAATTCTTTCACATTTTGTCCGATTTTACTCTAGTTATTCCTGGGATACAAAAACAAACCCTATTTTAAAGATATTCAAGGGGCATAATTCTTGAAACAATAAATGCAAAAACTGTTTAAATCAAATTGACTGGTATTCTACATATTTTTAAAATCCAAAAAGATTTGTCAAGAGATAATTTAGTTATCACATAACCAAAAATCATCCAAGTTTTTTAAACTAATTAAGGGCAATACTTTAGAAAATTATTGCTGAAGGCCAACTTAACCTTTATTTTATGGTAAACATTGAGTTAACATAAAAAAAACCAAAAGAAATCACAACCTTAAAGGTATCTAAGGGGCATAACGTTTGAATGTTAAATGTCAAACCATCAAAACCAAACTTGACCTGTATTTTCATGTCTATTACATAGTGTTAAAAGTTCAAAAGATTTGATCAAGCGATATTATCATCTGGAAACCAAAGAAATCTCAAATTTTAAGATAACTAAATGGCATAACTCCTTAACCAAAAATATCAAAACCATCATAGTCAAATTTGACCTGTATTTTGTCGTTCATGACATGTGTCTAAAGTTCATCAGATTTGGTCAAGAGTCACTTTAATTATCATATAGAAACCAAAATTCTGATGGATGGACAGAGACACACAGACATATGCATCACCATATACCCCTATTTGTGCTGGGGGTATATCAAAAATATAAAAAAATGTTGTTGTGTAAAAAGTTTGATTTCATATGGCCTTCAGCCAAGTTGCATAGAAATACAACAATTATATGACTGTATTCAGAGGATAATACTACTAATTCTCAGGATTTTCTCTTCCCTTTTAGAGGGAAAGAGTGGTGTATGGAGCCCTACAATATATGGCCTTCAGCCAGGTTACATTATATGAACAATAATATGGCTGTGTTCAGAGGAAAACATTAATTGTTTTCTCAGGACTTCCTTTACATTATCTTATCATGCACCCACCTATGTAATCCGGGAAATTGCCACTTATGAACATACATAATACTGTACAATTGTCGGACCTTGATTGTACAAAAAACATGTAAACAAACTATTTAACAATATTGGTGCAAAACTATCTTTTTCAATATCATTTGATCAAACTATGACTATATTAAACTATTTTGAAGTATTTAAAGTATTACATGCAGCATGCCCTTTAATTTATAATAACAACCATTTACAGTTTTTGGGGAAAATATACTTCAATTTCTATCAGACAAACTTTTGTAAAATAAGCAGTTAATAAAACATCATTATCTTAGTAAAAAGTTACATCACATGTGGAATATGGGTATAAAGTTTGCATATTAGCAAGGTAATTAAGAAAGTTAAGGGCATTGTTTAGCTAAGTGATAAATTTCTGACTATTAATTGAATCATGCAGACATGCACAATGTTCAAATTATCAACAAGTTTGGGAGGAAACATTTTGATTAACAGATATACCATGTGGGCCTTACAAACCAGGTTGGTTATTTCAAGGAGGTTATATTAGAATAACCTCATTGGTTATTTAAACTATTCAAGTCCACAACTGCAAAGTTAACAATTAAACTAGAGGCTCTCAAGAGCCTGTGTCGCTCACCTGATTCTACTTTGGTTTTGGAAATCATGTAAAAATAGATTAAAATCATAACAGATACCCTAATAATGAGTGAGGCCAAATTTGGTTTAATATTGGTCCTGTAATTTAATAAAAAATCCTGGTGGCCATCTTGAACAGTAAATCGGCAACAAAGTAGCAACACTTAATCAGCACCTCATAAGAAACATTTATGCCATGTTTTGGTTTCATTCCATTCAGTGCACCTCTAGAAGAAGCATTTGTATGTATTTCCCATAGGGTCTTATGTTAAAGGAAGTCCCCCTATTGGCGGCCATCATGGATGAAGGATCAGCTTCAAAGTAACAAAACTTAGTCAGCACCTCATAAGGAACATTCATGCCATGTTTGGTTTCAATCCATTCAGTATGTGGTTCTCTAAAAGAAGACATTTGTATGTATCATCCATAGGGTCCTTTGTTAAACATTGTCCCCATCTGGCAGCCATCATGGATGAAGGATCAGCTTCAAAGTAACAACACTTGGTCAGCACCTCAAAAGGAACATGCATGCCATGTTTGGTTTCATTCCATTCAATGGTTCTCTAAAAGAAAACATTTGTACGTATTTCTCATAGGGTCCTATGTTAAACTAAGTCCTCCGCTGGCGGCCATCTTAGATTATGGATCGGCTTCATAGTAACAACACTTGGTCAGCACCTCATAAGGAACATTCATGCCATGTTTGGTTTCATTGCATTCAGTGGTTCTCTAAAAGAAGACATTTGTATGTATTTCCCATAGGGTCCTATGTTAAACTAAGTCCCCCGCTGGCTGCCATCTTGGATGATGGATCAGCTTCAAAGTAACAACACTTGGTCAGCACCTCATAAGGAACATTCATGCCATGTTTGGTTTCATTGCATTCAGTGGTTCTCTAAAAGAAGACATTTGTATGTATTTCCTATAGGGTCCTATGTTAAACTAAGTTCCCCGCTGGCTGCCATCTTGGATGATGGATCAGCTTCAAAGTAACAACACTTGGTCAGCACCTCATAAGGAACATTCATGCCATGTTTGGTTTCATTGCATTCAGTGGTTCTCTAAAAGAAGACATTTGTATGTATTTCCCATAGGGTCCTATGTTAAACTAAGTCCCTCTCTGGCGGCCATCTTGGATGATGGATCGGCTTCAAAGTAACAACACTTAGTCAAGACCTCATAAGGAACATTCATGCCATGTTTGGTTTCGTTGCATTCAGTGGTTCTCTAAAAGAAGACATTTGTATGTATTTCCCATAGGGTCCCATGTTAAACTAAGTCCCCCGCTGGCATCCATCTTGGATTATGGATCGGCTTCAAAGTAACAACACTCGGTCAGCACCTCATAAAGAACATTCATACCATGTTTGGTTTCATTCCATTCAGTGGTTCTCTAAAAGAAGACATCTGTATGTATTTCCCATAGGGTGGTATGTTAAACTAAGTCCCCCGCTGGCGGCCATCTTGGATTATGGATCCGCTTCAAAGTAACAACACTCGGTCAGCACCTCATAAGAAACATTCATGCAATGTTTGGTTTCATTCCATTCAGTGGTTCTCTAAAAGAAGACATTTGTATGTATTTCCCATAGGGTCCTATGTTAAACTAAGTCCCCCGCTGGCTGCCATCTTGGATTATGGATCGGCTTCAAAGTAACAACACTCAGTCAGCACCTCATAAGGAACATTCATACCATGTTTGGTTTTATTCCATTTAGTGGTTCTCTAAAAGAAAACATTTGTATGTATTTCCCATAGGGTCCTATGTTAAACTAAGTCCCCCGCTGGCGGCCATCTTGGATTATGGATCGGCTTCAAAGTAACAACACTTGGTCAGCACCTCAAAAGGAACATTCATACCATGTTTGGTTTCATTCCGTTCAGTGGTTCTATAAAAGAAGACATTTGTATGTATTTCCCATAGGGTCCTATGTTAAACTAAGTCCCTCACTGGTGGCCATTTTGGATGATGGAACAGCTACAAAGTAACAACACTTGGTCAGCACCTTGTAAGGAACATTCATGCTATGTTTTGTTACATTCCATTCAGTGGTTCTCTAAAAGAAGTCATTTGTATGCATTTCCCATAGGGTCCTATGTTAAACTAAGTCCCCTGCTGGCGGCCATCTTGGATGATGGATCGGCTACAAAGTAACAACACTTGGTCAGCACCTCCTAATGAACATTCATGCTATGTTTTGTTTCATTCCATTCAGTGGTTCTCTAAAAGAAGTCATCTGTATGCATTTCCCATAGGGTCCTATGTTAAACTAAGTCCCTCACTGGCGGCCATTTTGGATGATGGAACAGCTACAAAGTAACAACACTTGGTCAGCACCTTGTAAGGAACATTCATGCTATGTTTTGTTTCATTCCATTCAGTGGTTCTCTAAAAGAAGTCATTTGTATGCATTTCCCATAGGGTCCTATGTTAAACTAAGTCCTCCGCTGGCGGCCATCTTGGATGATGGATCAGCTACAAAGTAACAACACTTGGTCAGCACCTCCTAATGAACATTCATGCTATGTTTTGTTTCATTCCATTCAGTGGTTCTCTAAAAGAAGTCATTTGTATGCATTTCCCATAGGGTCCTATGTTAAACTAAGTCCCTCACTGGTGGCCATTTTGGATGATGGAACAGCTACAAAGTAACAACACTTGGTCAGCACCTTGTAAGGAACATTCATGCTATCTTTTGTTACATTCCATTCAGTGGTTCTCTAAAAGAAGTCATTTGTATGCATTTCCCATAGGGTCCTATGTTAAACTAAGTCCCCCGCTGGCGGCCATCTTGGATGATGGATCGGCTACAAAGTAACAACACTTGGTCAGCACCTCATAAGGAACATTCATGCCATGTTTGGTTTCATTCCATTCAGTGGTTCTCTAGAAGAAGTTCAAAATGTAAAAAGTTAACGCCGACGACGGACGACGCCGGACGACGGACGACGGACGCCAAGTGATGAGAAAAGCTCACTTGGCCCTTCGGGCCAGGTGAGCTAAAAAGAGGGTTGTATTAAAAGATTTTCATAAAATTTTATGAAAGCTGGACTTGGTAGAAGAAGTATACTTAACAACAAAATTATTTTCATTTGCCTGTGTATAATATGACTCAGGTTTCTTCAAAAGTGATGATTTTCTAAAAATTGTTTGACATTTCACAGTGATATCATACTTTAACTTTGTTTAAACCTGTTTATTTACTTTTGACTTTAATTATTTATCCCTTGTAATTTTTTATTAACTGTGTATTTGCATTCAGGTGTCACAGGTCAAATTTATTCGTTCATTGTGTGTTAATTTACGTTTTTTGATTGAGTTAAGCCTTCCAATTGATATTTTATAGTGTATTTTTCTATGTTGTGATGTTATACTATTGTTTCAGAAAAGGGAGAAGGTTTGATACCATTAAAACATTTAATCCCACTGCAAATGTTTGCACCTGTCCTTAGTCAGGAATCTGATTACAGTAGTTGTCGTCTGTTTAATATGTAGTTCATACGTGTTTCTCGTTTCTCGTTTTTATATAGATTAGACCGTTGGTTTTTCCGTTTGAATGGTTTTACACTAGTAATTTTTTGGGGCCCTTTATAGCTTGCTGTTCGGTGTGAGCCAATGCTCCGTACCTTGACCTATAATGGTTTACTTTTATAAATTGTAACTTGGATGGAGAGTTGTCTCATTGGCACTCATACCACATCTTCCTATATCTATATGCAATAAATCTCTCACCTAGGAAAAAAATACAACAATAAAATCATAGCCATCAGTGGCAGCTATCTTACACACAATAATTAAGATTGTGACCAGGTCTGATCCAGATCCACTTGGAGAACAATTCTATTCAAAAATCATTATTTAAGGATAATATCTCCTATAAGGTGTCAATGAACAATTTCAGATATGTTGACTTATTTGTAGATCTTTTCTTTTTGATTACAGTTACTCTCTATCTATTATAGTTTTCTATATAAATGTAAACAATAAATTGTGTTCATTGGAAACTATGCCCCGCTCACACTATAACATTCCCATGTTAAGTGAGCTCCTAATTTGGGTAGATACCTACTTGCAAGTGAATAATTCATCATCGATGTTTCTCAGCTTATTTTGACAAAATTGACCCAAACTGGCTGCTAAAAGCGAATTATTATTTCACTATTTCACTTTCATTAATGATTGAATAAAAAAAATCATATTTTATTTTTTTTTATATGTCGTAGCTAATGCCCCTTTAAGGGGTCGATTAAACCATTTGTTTTTGTTCATTTATTAAAAGGTCTTTTTTGCCGATAATTTTTGCCATATACAGTTTTTTTCTCCGTATATTACTATTTTCAAGAAAATATCTATAAACCCTTAAATTGGTAAACAAAAATCATCTTTTAGGGGGAAATAATTCCTACAACAGGACAACTGATCATTTTGGTAGAAAAGGAAAGTGGGTAGAATTCAGAAATGTGTGCATGATTTATTATTGCGACTTTTAAACAATTGACAAAAATAAGAGATTAATTATTGTAATTTTGAGAAATGATGCATATAAACTGGGACATAATATATTAAAAGATATATAGTATAACAGTCCCAGGTTAAAATAATGCTATCAAAATTTAAAATCCCACTTTTTATTTATGTGACAGCTATCCTGTAATGTGACGGCAAAAACTCACATGGTCCATTGGGCTATATGAGCTTAAAAGATACCTTGTCCTTATAAAACCAATTTTTTTTTAATTCCTTATAGATCCAATAGATCAAACATATAATAATAGTGAAATCATCTGAACTTTGCCTATTTTCAAATTATTTATAATAATATACTGTAAATTCAGAAATTATTTCATACATTTATTATTGCAATTTTTGAAGACTGAACTAAAATGCCAGATTAACATTTGTGATTTCAGGAAAGCTTCATACAGTATCAGATATCAGAATGCAAGTTCTTATAATTGTGATACTCACTCAGGCGTCTTATTTGTATTAATAAAAACCTTACAATAATTTCTGAATTTACAGTACTTAACTGCTGAAAGGTCAATTAGCTTGATTAGGAATACAACCACATGTACTAGCTATTGCAGCTAAGTCTCTTGGAAAAAGACAAAGAAATGGATAATATAAAGCTTCTGAGAAGTAAAAAAGTCAGACTTTTCAAAAGAATAATATTTACCAGCAGTAGAGAAAGTAATATTGTTTGTCACATTGTTGACAGTCAAAAAATGTGATGTCACACAGAATTCCCCACAGCCATTTTCGTCACTTCCATGTCCAGTTATTACAGAAAATAGTTCTACCTACAAAATGTTAGAAACTTTTACAACATGTCTGTTACCACTCAGATTACAATTTACTACAATATAAGATATTAGAGCACTAATATATACTGTTATGATAGAAATTACATGTATATTGTTTGACTTTATGGATTCCAATCTCTACCAAACTTTCATTTATAGCCAAGACCATATAATTTCAACATCAGTTTAATACGCTTTTGGGCCATCTGAAATAGGAAGTTCCTTTTATTACAAAGTAAATAACAATAAATACACAAAAGATGATATCAAAATGCTGGACTTTTTTTTTCAACAACATATTCATTGAGTTTGGTAGATTGATATTTCAGTGGACAGTCTGTATTCCAATGAGTAGTAATTGTGCAACACTACTGGACAATTTGTTTATGTATTCATATGAAGCAGAATTTATACAGCTCTTTTTGTACAAAAAGAAAAGCATCTTGCAAAATTCTTAAATTTCACTTTCAGACTTTGGTATTTTTCTTATTTTACTTTTTTTCAGATATATTGAGTGCTAACATCTCATTTATCCCAATTGTCAATTTCCCATTTCTCAGCAGTAACATACCCTCTGCTCCATCTTATGGTGTTTACATATTTCAGTTTAAATCTTATGCTCGTGCATGTTCACACTATATGGACTTCATTAACAGGAGTGTTCTTTTAAAAACAAACTGCTCCAACAGAGAAAAGAGGAAGGACTGAAATCAACAATACATAAGTTTTACAATCACCATCACAAATTGGTTGACTGGTACAATATGAAACAGTGCTGATAAATGATTATCAAGTTAACATTAAAGGAAACTTAAAAGTTGCTTACAACTTACTTTTGTTATAAGATCTGGTACAGTAAAATTAATGGGTTTAAAATGGCTGTTGTAGTTCTTGTCAAAAGTGGCTCCTGGGAAATACAGTGATGATATATGTGCTGGATAGGAGTCATCTGAAAAAATAAGATAACAATGGTTGGCAATGATTCTATAATGACTTACCTTTTGTAGTACTGTGGATTCATTTATTTTTTATGGATTGTATTTTTTGTTTATAATTGGTTATTGTAGTTTTGCCAAAGTTTGCTTACAAACACATGGAAAACTTATTCTTTGTTGAACATTTAAATTCGTGGTTTACTTATACATGTACAAAAGAAATAAAAACCTGTATCTATGTTCTTCAAATCACAGATGAAAGAAGCCTTATGGACATACAGCAAAGATGATTCAAGGCCATTGTGAACCAGCAGTGAGTTGTGAGCTCTGTGTTTAAGGCCTTCATATGACTTTGAGTTGAAGAACATCAATAAAAGTTATTTCGCTTTGGATTTTTGTATGGTTAGAAATTTTGTGTCATGTAATAATGCCAATAACCTTTTTTTTCTACTTCTATTAATAGTAATAGGAATCATCTAAGACTTGTATAAATTTTCCTGTTTAAATAAAACAAAGGACCATCTAAAATGCTATAAGATGCTGTGAGATGTGAGAGAAGGCTTTTATAGTGAATTAATGTACTGTAAAGTGCTTAATTTTTGCAGTGTAAACATTTCACAATTTCTAGTGCAAACTAAGTTCAAGAACTAATATTTTCCATGTTTTTCATGTCTCTAAAAATAATCTTACTTAACAAAAGTAACTACCAAATTTTAATACACAAGCGATAATTTTAGCCCCTCACCAAAATTTTCCACTTTACAGTATTTTCCCTAACTTCTACAAATAGTATTGTTGAAAAAAGCAAAACAGGTATTGTAATGTACAGATCAAACAAGTCCATCAAGATTCTGATATTAAATTCTATCTAAAGGCCTTTTCGTTTGTTTTAACAAATATAATCTGTTCAGATATGCCTGATGATTACGCCATTCTTAGTAGCATGGTTTAGAGAAAACATTTTCTCTTGAATTGATTCTATATTAAAAAAATTCCAAGATTGTCCATTCATGACATAATTTCATGTTAAGCAGATATAATTCATAACCTTTCTTTTTTTCTTCTTACAAATTTATGTCATTGTGTCAAAAAACAAATTAAGACAAAATTATTCTAAAGAATCTTTTGTGTCTACAGATAGACAGTTATGATAATAAACTTTTAATAAAAATTACCGATATTCAAGTGCCATGCATTTCTTAAAATTTCAATTGCCTTCCTTACCTAATGATCTTGGTTGAGAAAATCTGATATTGAGTGATGGTATCCATGGCATTGCCCAGGGTGCTGTTTTCATTGTGAAGGTACAAGTGTTTGTTGTGAACAGAGGTAACAATGGAGAAACATCAGTCAGCCATCTTCCTATCCTCCTTTATAGATACAAAAAAAATGAATAAATAACCAATCCTCAAAAATTGTAACCACATAAAATACCTTTAAAAAGTAATACAAAAATCCTAGTTGAGATACAGATTACATTACTCAATTTATTCTTTAAAATCAAAATGGTAATTTTAGTTTATTAATTATTAGCAACAAATATTAGCACCAACAAAAAACAAGAGTTGATATAATTTCTCACCTGCAGAAAAAAATGATAAAGTTCCAATATAACATTAAATCTTTAAGTTCAATGGACTTAGGCCATTGTAAAATAAAAATTGTCAGATGCTTTTAAGAATTAACATATTAAATATTGTTTACCTATCATATATAGTAACTTAGTGACTGTGACAGACCAAATCATACCTAGCCTATGATAATGCCATAACAAAAAATGTGACCTTGTCAAACCAGAAATAACCTTGCATTATATGTATTTTCCATTGCCCTACAATGCAAAGATAATAAGAAAAAGTCCAAAACACTTTTAAAAGTAAGTCCAAGGCCTTATGACCTAGTTAAACAAACATATGTTCTCCTTGCAGCAAGTCAATTTATTAAATACTGTTTGCCTGTCCAGCATATTTATTGACATACAGACCTAATTTCGGACCAATGGAGAGTGTGCTGACAAACAGACCTAACCTAATAAGATGACAAACAGACCTAACCTAATAACAACATGACCAATGGAGTGTGTGATAAGTCAGATGTTACTATTAATGTTTCTTTAATGAGGTTTAATGCATATTCTTAAAATTTAATGACATTCACTTTTGTTGGTGGATCAAAGATCCCTGACATATATGCATACATAATTTTTGGAGAGGCCTTAGTGACTGTTTCTTCTCATGTATTAAAGATTCTATTTTCTTCAATCAGTTTATTTAGTCATTTAAGCTCAAACAATAATAACACAGATAAATCATTTTCACATCTAGCAGCCTTATTAGAAAAAATAATAAAAGGAAACAACCAAAGGTGTATGGTTCTTTTAAGTTTCATATCGACTGAGTAATTTCTGACAAAAGTTGAATTTATCTGTAAGTGGTCAATGGTAGTTTAAAGGAGAGGCATCAGACATAAATGTGACACTGGAAATGTACAGGAAAATTCATTAATGTGAAAGTAGTCTATGTTTATGATTAATAAAGTATTTAAAAATCCTATCACCATTACAACGATGGCATACTAATATTTTTCATGTTTTTAAATCTTTATTCAACAAAGAAAGTAGTAACCATACCTTCTGAATGATGTTATCCATCTTCCTAGTTCCATTCCACATAAAGGTGATTTTGGATCACAACAAACATACAGGTTAACTGTATGGTCCCAGTGACCACAGGTTGTGTCCTTTGTACCTGGACAGGATAAGGACATGTCCAACTCTACTTTAGAAAACAATTGAATTTCTGAAAGATATAAATTTTGCATTTTTTTTATCAATTCATTTATTATTAACTATTCTAGTGTTTGGTTAATTCCCTCTTGTTATCAACTTTATAAGAAGTGTATAATCATTAAACAAATTATGGAGTTGGAATTAAAATTCACTCTGAACTGATCACAGCATAGATCATAATGACAATATTTGATGGAACTTCACCAGACATCTTCCGAATAAGGTACCCACACTCATGTTCTAAATTATATTTTTTTTGGGCTGGACTCCTGTACATGCATGATTGCAGGTCACTTAGTATCTAAGAAATTAACTCAGACATGAAGTTTGATTCAAGCAAATGAAGCATAAAATGTAGGTCAAAGTAAACTACATTTACAGAAGACTTTAATGCTCCCTTAGTTTTATCCTCACTAAACTTTATTGTTGTAAGTAAGTCAGTGAGAAAATACACCTAAACATAACATAAATCAGTGAAGCGTAAAAGGTTGATAAGAGCAACATTGGTAGTAGGTGACTGTCATACTCCTTACATCAAGTTTTATGATTATGAATCACTTTGAATCTAAAAACTGAACATCAATGTCAAGGAAACTTAAAAACCTAATCAAAGTCAGTTAACCATAAAATATAGTTCATAAACACCTTCATTTCATAATCAGTCTCTCAAAGATGCATCTGTGCATCATAACATATGACTGTATATATGTCCATCACTCTTGTTAGAACTGACTGTCGACCACAACATTCCATCCTTAGAATCATTAAAGGGCAAACTAATAAGATATACACAAAATAATTCAAACAACTACAATGTAACTTAACTACATTTGTCAGATTTTATCTAAAGTGTAAATTAAACCAAGGAAAACAATTTAATTTCAAAGTTTTTCACAGGAAGTTTTACATGACATCATGTTGTTTCTATTACAGGTAAGTTCATATGCAAAAGTTATCAACAACAGTTAAATTAATTTCAATTTAAATGGCTTAAATAGTCCTATGGATTGAAGAATTATTTGCATAAGAATGGAGATCACTATATCGTTTTTCAGCTTTTAAAAAAAAACTTTGCAAAGTGTTGTCAATTGATGACAGTATTATCAATTAATAATGTCCAAAAAACTTGAAATAGTCTTCAGTTATCTTTTTATTCATAGGACTGTTTGTCCAAAAGTATCAGAGAAACCAAAGAAACTCAGATGTAAACTTCAACCAAAGTCAGTGATGAAGATAATTTAAATCAGGATGACCTATACTACTGTTGAAAGCCATCTGATACTCACACAGATGTGTTAACACAGCAAGATACATAACAATACATCACTTTGTTTTCTTAATATGGACATCACTAAAAAAAGAATGTAGGTCACTTTCATAAACTTTAATAAAAGAAAAGAAGAATGTGTCTGAGGACACGAATGTCCCCACTCAAGCTTTGCAACGAAAATGGGAGGGACAGAAAGACAGAAAGACGGAAGGATGGAAAGATGGATGGTCAAGGGTAACACTTATAATGCCCGTCCCCTGCAGCGGGGGCATAAAAAAAATAACACTATTAAATTGGCTCACCTTTCAGATCAGGTAATGATACATTAACCACAATTCCCTGACTCCCATGCATGACTTTATCTTTAAAAATTTCAACAACCATATCTGCATCATTTAATTTATTGTTCAAATTAACCTCATAGTCAAACCTGGAAATAAAATTCAAATATCAAACTACAAACAATTTTCACCTTTTTTCAACATGTTCAAAAGAGTCCTGAAATATCCTTTCCATACTTTTTGCAACAACTGACATTCTCTTTTAATAAAATCCTGTGAATGTAACTTCATACCTTAATCCAATTTTCAAGCAGCACCATAAACCTTTAAATTAGTGTCCAACAATATTTATAGTATTAATGAAGTTATAGTCCGCTCTATGCAAATGCAAATAATACTTAATTCTTTTGTCTACTGAACTTGAAAAATAAATTAAATAAACAGTTAAAGATATATAAAACAGAAACACTTAAGTATATAATGATGGTAAAGATGAATATTCATTACTTTTTTTGAGACATCCAGTCTATCAGTTGCAGATCTGTCCACGCTTTGTTTACAAGGATCTGGAAACGCTCCATTGTACTTTCTGTTTTAACGACGTTTCGGGATTCTCAGGTTTTGTTATAATGATACACACTTTCAAAAATTTTAAGGCAGAAATTCATTGGTTGATTTTAAATTTATCAGAACAGAAAGTAGGACCAAGTGTTGTCAGATCCTTGTAAGCTAAGCTTGGGCACATGACCTGTATTTTAATCAGACTGGATAAAAGAAAGAATGCATTTCAAAGATGCAATGCTCTCCTGTGAAAAAAATAACAGTTGTTTTTATTTGTCTGATATATGTAACTTCATATCAAGTAGAAAAATCAATATTATTCATTAGAGCTATTTTCCTAATGCTTGTAGTTTAAAGGTTTGGTTTGCTTGCTTGTTTTGTTTGTATAAATGTTTGCTCAAGCATTGTAATTAAGATTGACATCTGCAATCGATAGATAGGCGGGGCTTCAGCTTGTATACATTATACTTAAATGTTATTGGATGTTAAATATAATGCAGAGTATAATGTATACAAGCTGAAGCCCCACCTATATATTGATTGCAGATGTCAGTCTTAATTACAATGCTTCAGCAATCATTTATACAAACAAAGCAAGCAAGCCAACTAAATCTTTTAACTACAAGCATTTGGAAAATAGCTATAAACAATATCAAGTATGTAACATACCATTTAGCTTGCCAAACTAAGAAGTTCATAGATGGATACAAGAACCAGCCTACTTCTGCCAATTTACCAGATCTATTTATAGCCATGAAGAAGTTAGATGTAGGAGTGTTCTGGAATGTTATATTCATTTGACCATTCCTGAAAGTAAAGTACAGTTCTAATACATGTTTATTTATTCAGACATTACAATTTTGTCACAGTTGTTTCTATCATACAATGGCTATCAACAGTTCAGCCATTAAAGTTTATGAAAACAGACCACTAAGGATGATAAGAAAAGTTTACAAAAAGACAACAGATGGCATAGTCATTGGAATAAACAATAGTTCACAGCTAAAAATGACTATGAATGTGGTGCGGGAATTTCTCACTGCATTGAAGACCCATTGGTGGCCTTCGGCTGTTGTCTGCTCTATGGTCGGATTGTTGTCTCTTTGACACATTCCCCATTTCCATTCTCAATTTTATTTGTTCCAATACATATTTTATACAATTAATCTAAAGACTCACTGTGTAAAAATATCAGTATATTCAACAAAAGTAGCTGGTATGGATAGCTGAGTCTGACAATCTGTCCCTTTACATTCCATATCCTGTACTGTTTGTCCTTTACTCGCCACTACAACAACACCAACAGCACCAGATTTCTCCATCATTAAAACCTAAATTACAGTACAGCAAACTAAATAACTAATCATTTGTCATTGCTACAAGATAGTATGGTAATGATACTATTAAAAACAATCATCCACAATTTCCTGGTTAATTTATAGTAGTTTCAAGAAATGCAAAGAAGTAAAGTATAGTATGATTCCAACTAGAGGCTCTAAAGAGCCTGTGTCGCTCACCTTGGTCTATGTGCATATTAAACAAAGGACACAGATGGATTCATGACAAAATTGTGTTTTGGTGATGGTGATGTGTTTGTAGATCTTACTTTACTGAATATTCTTGCTCCTTACTATTATCTCTATCTATAATGAACTTGGCCTGGTAGTTACAGTGGAAAATACTTTTAAAAATTTACAAAAATTTACAAAAATTTATGAAAATTGTAAAAAATTGACTATAAAGGGCAATAACTCCTTAAGGGGTCAATTGACAATTTTGGTCATGTTGCCTAATTTGTAGATCTTACTTTGCTGAACATTATTGCTGTTTACAGTTTATCTCTATCTATAATAATATTCAAGATAATAACCAAAAACGGCAAAATTTCCTTAAAATTACCAATTCAGGGGCAGCAACCCAACAACGGGTTGCCTGATTGGTCTGAAAATTTCAGGGCAGATAGATCTTGACCTAATGAACAATTTTATACTCATCAGATTTGCTCTAAATGCTTTGGTTTCAGAGATATGAGCCAAAAACTGCATTTTACCCTATGTACTATTTTTTAGCCATGTCGGCCATCTTGGTTCGCGGGCGGGGTCATTGGACACATTTTTTAAACTAGATACCCTAATGATGATTGTGGACAAGTTTGGTTAAATTTGTCTTAGTAGAGGAGAAGATTTTTGTAAAAGATTACAAAAATTTACAAAAATGGTTAAAAATTGACTATAAAGGGCAATAACTCCTTAAGGGGTCAACTGACCATTTTGGTCAAGTTGACTTATTTGTAGATCTTACTTTGCTGAACATTATTGCTGTTTACAGTTTACCTCTATCTATAATAATATTCAAGATAATAACCAAAAACTGCAAAATTTCCTTAAAATTACCAATTCAGGGGCAGCAACCCAACAACGGGTTGTCCGATTCATCTGAAAATTTCAGGGCAGATAGATCTTGACCTGATAAACGATTTTACCCCATGTCAGATTTGCTCTAAATGCTTTGGTTTCAGAGATATAAGCCAAAATCTACATTTTACCCCAATGTTCTATTTTTAGCCATGGCGGCCATCTTGGTTGGTTGGCCGGGTCACCGGACACATTTTTTAAACTAGATACCCCAATAATGATTGTGGCCAAGTTTGGTCAAATTTGGCCCAGTAGTTTCAGAGGAGAAGATTTTTGTTTTAAGTTTACGGACGACGGACGACGGACGCAAAGTGATGAGAAAAGCTCACTTGACCTTTCAGGTCAGGTGAGCTAAAAAGAGTATAACTTTGCTTACATGAGAAATGCATTCCCACCAAAGTGTGATTCTTTTTTTATTTTTTTAATTGGATACCATTTTTCAATCATAAGGAAGCCTTGTTCCAGTTGTCATGATTTTTATTCAGATTCAATGACCTTATTGAAATTGTTAACAAGAGTGCACACGCTGAAATGTCTTGCCTGCTTTGCTGACAATTGATTTTATGTTGAAAGTCTTAAAGATAAAGGTTTTACTAAAAGCATTACAGAAACTTACATTTTTAAAAATCTATGACAATGAGGTCAAGGTTAGATAAATTGTGTCAGACAGACATGTACACCTTACAATTTTTTCATACACCAAATATAGTTGACCAATTGTGTATGCTAATTGAAAAACAGACCAAAACACAAAAACTTAACATTGACCAATGAACCATAAAAATGAGGTCAAGGTCAGATGAAACCTGCCAGACAGACATGTACACCTTACAATCATTCCTTACACCAAATATAGTTGACCTATTGCTTAAAGTACTTGAAAAACAGACCAAAACAAAAACTTAACATTGACCAATGAACCATGAAAATGAGGTCAAGGTCAGATGATACCTGCCAGACTGACATGTACCCTACAATCATTCCATACACCAAATATAGTTGACCTACTGCTTATAGTATTTGAGAAATGGACCTAATCACGTAACTTTAACCTTGATCACTGATCCATGAAATGAGGTCGAGGTCAGTTGAACTCTGTCTGACGGACATGTAGACGTTGCAAGGAACCCATATACCAAATATAGTTATCCTATTACTCATAATAAGTGAGAAATTCACATGACAAAAAAACTCAATTTTTATTTCAAGCAGTCGCTGAACCAGGAAAATGAGGTCAAGGACAATTGACATATGGTTGAAGGTAACTTCGTAACATAAGGTATCTGCATACAAGATATGAAGCATCCAGGTCTTTTATCTGCTAAAATAGAAAGCTTTATACCAAAAATTTAAGGCTGCCGCTGCCGGATAGTAATACCTATGTCTTGCAAACTTTCGTCGGAGGCCAGACAAAAATGAAAAAAAAAGTTTTAAACTGATCCTTTGGGTACAAACCACAATAATTGATCATTTGGGTACAAACCACAATAACTGATAATTTGGGTACAAACCACAATTACTGATCATTTGGGTACAAACTACAATAACTGATCATTTGGGTACAAACCAAGATAACTGACACATGATAGCTGATACTTTAGGTAAAAATTTGTTGGTAGCTGATTCCTTGGGTAAAAATCAAGGTAGCTGATTCTTTGGGTACAAACCACAATAACTGGTCCTTTGGGTACAAACCACTACAACTGATTGGTAAAAACCACAATGACTGTTCCTTTGGGTACAAATAAACTCATGTGTCATTTGGTCTCTTGTGGAGAGTCGTCTCATTGGCAATCAGTACCACATCTTCTTATTTTTATATCATCATAGATACCAGGATTAAAATTAACAAGAGTGCACACGCTGAAATGTCTCGCCTTCTTTACTAATCATTGATATTATGTTGATAGTCCTAAATATAAAGCTTTATTACAACTGCCACATAAACTTAACATTAACCAAGTAAACTAAACATTGACCAATGAACCATGAAAATGAGGTCAAGGTCAGATAAACCATGCAAGGCAGGCATGTACAGCTAACAAATCTTCCATACAACAAATATAGTTGACCTATTGCTTATAGTTTAAGAAAACAGACCAAAACACAAAAATTAACACTGAGCAATGAACCTTGAAAATGAGGTCAAGGTCAAATAAAACCTGTGTGACTGACATATAGATCATAAAATATTTCCATACACCAAATATAGTTGAACTATAGCATATATAGTATTAGAAAAAAAGACCAAAACTCAAAAACTTAACTTTGACCACTGAACCATGAAAATGAGGTCAAGGTCAGATGACACCTGCCAGTTGGACATGTACACCTTACAATCATTCAATACACCAAATATAGTAGACCTATTGCATACAGTATAAGAAAAACTGACCAAAACACAAAAACTTAACTATAACCACTGAACCATGAAAATGAGGTCAAGGTCAGATGACACCTGCCAGTTGGACACTCCGATATGTACACCTTACAGTCCTTCCATACACCGAATATACTAGACCTATTGCTTATAGTATCTGAGATATGGACTTGACCACCAAAACTTAACCTTGTTCACTGATCCATGAAATGAGGTCGAGGTCAAGTGAAAACTGTCTGACGGGCATGAGGACCTTGCAAGGTACGCACATACTAAATATAGTTATTACTCATAATAAGAAAGAAATTATCATTACAAATATATTTATCCTATTACTTATAATAAGAGAGAATTTAACATTACAAAAAATCTTAACTTTTTTTTCCAAGTAGTCACTGAACCATGAAAATGAGGTCAAGGACATTGGACAGGTGACTGACGGAAACTTCGTAACATGAGGCATCCATATACAAAGTATGAAGCATCCAGATCTTCTACCTTCTAAAATATATGTCGAGCTTTGTGCGACAAAAGTCGCAGGCTCGACAAAAACAACAGTAACTGATCCTTTGCAAACAATTTCTATTCAGCAATTTTGGTATATAGCCAAAGTATTACAGAACTTAAATACTAATGTACAAACTTTTTGGAAATATGAACATCCTTTGCTGGATACCACAGCAACTGAATGATTGACAGCCCAATATATATTACAACCATTTTCTGCAAATACCATTTGGACTGTCTTATTACCAAATATACTTGTAGGGTTTGGTAGCCAGTCATAGTGGGCATCTAATCTTTTTAAAACTACTGGATAATTTTTACCTGTAAAAACATATAAAATAAAGTGTAAGGCTAAGAAAAGCAACGAATCCCCTTAGTCAATATGTCAACACAGGAACCTTGAACAACATGTACATTTTTCGAATATCAAAATCCTCTGTGGACTCATTAGTGTGCTTGACACACTAATGTGATGACATGTGATATATTATTCCTGTAGACTCTCATCAAGAGGAACCTTAGCAAACAAACTCCTACTGAATTGAATGAAAAACAATTGATTTGACCCTTCGGTCCCTGAGACAGTGGTAATTTTCACAAATCTTGCAGACAAACACAAAAAGGGATTTTCATAAGGAATACAAAGAAAGAAATGACATCAAAATCCTACTAAATGTAATTTAATTCAAATGGTAAGGGTTAAACACATGAAGACCACATGAAGAGGGTTTAAAAACAACAAGAGTTATGCATAAATTCTGTCTTTAACTGCTTTAAGTTCTTTGCAACAGGACACCAATAATGAAACCACTTGAAATAGAGGAAACTGAAAATTTTATGTAAAGGAAATAGAGGATATCATATGGTGCATTGATTCACGACACACACTTGACTGCAAGGAAAAAATCAATTCTTTTATTGATGTTCTTCATCTCAAAGAGTCAGTGAGGCCTTTAACAGAGAGAAAAAGTTCACACCTCAATGTCAGTTCAAGACAGACCAATTTAGCGGAATAATTTTGCTACATGTATAAACCAGTACATCATTGCACAGCTGCAGGGTATTTTTTGTAAAAGTTAACAGATGATCAACACCAAGTGATAAAAAAAGATCACAGACCTTTGGGCCAGTTGAGCTAAAAATGGGAGAAATTCTTGATATTTTTCTAATAAAAGGTTCTCTTTAGGCGATTGGTCTTCAGAGATGAAACTATTGAGACTCAGAATTTCACTGCTCAGTCTGCTGCATTGGTACACAAAGGAAGAAACCATAAATCACTAAAATTTGAAAGCTTAGCAATGATTCATGCTTAATTTACTTACAGGTAAAAAAAAATTTAATTAAGTTTATATTTTCTGAATGATCTTTTTAAAAGTTTCTAATATAATAGTGATGAGAAAAAATTATCCAAAATGACAAATGCTTTAATAACTATGACCTAGTTACCAAAATTTAACTAAGTGATCTAGGTAGGGTAAGTAAGCAAAAGAACCAATAGTGATAGGTCTAGATGGGGTTTACAGAATAGAGAATAATGGGCCAAGAGTACAGAAAAATTGCTATAAAAAAAAGAAAGAACAGAGAAAAATGGGCCAAAAAAAAAAAAAGGTAATATTGGTGCTAAAGAATGGAGAATAAAAGGCAAAAAATATAAAGAATAGAGAACATGACATAAAAAGTTATAGAAAACAGAAATGAAGAACCCCCAATTTAGACCTTCATAGTGGCAAATCCCTGTAAGCAGTATACCTCTGAATGATGATGCTTGTATTACAACTTGATCTAGACCACATAGATGATCTACACATTCCCACTGTTGCAGAACTGATGGAATCCAGTTACCCAATTTAGAAACTGGTAATACAGAAAAGTGTATCCTGTCCATGAGAGAAAGTAATCCATTCTTTGTTAATCTGTAACATAATTGATAGATAAATGCAAACAAATATCAATGTGCAAGATTCCAGAGGTTCATCAGACATTGGCAAAAGTCTGGTAATTTTGGGACTGGTCTACTGGTCTACTAATGTTCTGTTGCATCTCAGACCAGGTGTCCAATAAAAATTTATTAAGAAAGATAATTAAAAAATTCATCTGTAAGCAGTCATAAGATATAACTAAAGTAATTGAACCCTATTTTTTCATTATTTATTCCTTGATTATCAACCATTTGTCAGCTGGAACATGTATGAGATAATTTTATGGACATTCCTGCACTGTGTATTAAAAATAATTTAAAAGAAATCTGATTTTTTTCAACAAACACTTTAAGGAATGTCAGGAATATGGCAGTTGTTTTTCACTTGTTCCATTGATTGAAAGCATTTGCTTTTGTCATTTTTTTATGGACTTTCCCTTTTGGAATTTGCCTCAAGGAGTTCATTTTCCCATGCCATTCAATTTAAACCTATATTAATTTATAGCTACTACATCTGGGCTACTACATTGTATCTACTGGGTATTACATTTGATTTACTCTAACATCAAACTACCACATCTGATTCACTGTCAAATCAAACTATCACGTCTGATTCACTGACACTTCAAACTATCACATCTGATTCACTATCACATCAAACTGTCCAGGCATGGGGTAATGCAAATTTGTAATTGTAATGCATGGTAATGCATTACATTTTTCCAAGTAACTGCATGTTATGTGTAATGCAGCAATTTGTGCATTACATGTAATTGTAATATAATGCATTACTTTAGCAAAAAGTTGTGTAATTTCATGCATTACATGGCATTACATGTCATTACTTTTTTCACATACTACATCTTTAACATATTGTTGGAGTTTTAACTAAACCAAATTTAAGATTTCTTGATTAACTAAGAATATGTAAATCATTAGAATATATTCTTTATTTCATCTTATTTCATACATTTCCCTGCATAAAAAGATTGATATTTGAAAAGCATAACTGTATTGTTGTCATTAGATCAAAGAATATCTTGTCTTGCTTAAATAAAAGATAATTAAACTTTGTTATAAAACACCAATTAGTTTGTTTTACAATCAATACTTTCACCATTTAGACAATTGTTCATTAATTAAGGTATATATATGTTTATTTTATAATTAGGGAAGTTATTCACAGTAATTAAATATTTCGTTTAAAATAAAAAAAAACAACAAAAAGTATATTTATAAAAGTAAAGTCAACATTAAGTTAAAATAATTAAAATTGTAAAGGTCGAATTAAATAGACTTTTTACATGTATACTTATATTCAATTCATGGAACAGTTACTGCATATGCTAGAATCTTTTGTGACTTCTAGTATTTTTTCAAAATGTTTAATTTTTCTATTCACTTAATAAAATTTTCAAATGTAATGTGTAATTCAAGGCATTACTTTGCAAAAGTAATTGTAATATAATGCATTACTTTGATAAATGCATGTAATTGTAATTGTAATATAATGCATGGTTTGGTCAAAGTAATTGTAATATAATGCATTACATTGCAATGTAATTCGCCCCATGCCTGAAACTGTCACAACTTATTTTTACTATGACACATCAAACTGTCTCATCTGCTTAACATCTTACTACCTAAGATAAAAAAGAAAAAAGAAACAGCATTCCAATGTCACCCATGTTGCAAATATTTTATCTATCCAAGAGCTATAATAACTAAAAAATAAATGGGGAATGTGTCCATGTGACACAGATGATGCCCCCGCTTGCATATAATGTTATAAAGGGACATAATTCAAGAACAGTAAAAGTAACGCCACCCAAATTCATACTTGATCTGATTTTTGTGGTAATAAGCATTGGGTATAAGTCTCATAACATTTGGTTGAGCAAAACTAAAGTTAGAGAACGGAAACGAAAAATTCAGCAATTTTTCCATTTGTAAAAGGGCATAACTCTAGAAAGGTAAAAGTGACGTCACCCAAATTCAAACATCATCTGTGTTTTGTAGTAATAAGCATTGTGTATAAGTTTCATAACATTTGGTTGAGGCAAACTAAAGTTAGAGAAAGGAAACCAAAATTTATGGACGTACAAACGGAAAAGGGTAAAACTTAATGCCCCCTCGGCAACGGCAGGGGCATAAAAATTTGTTGTGTTCTTTAAAATGTTTTAATAAATATCTTATAAGAAATGTTCATAGACATGAGATCGCTCACAATGTTATTTTCCATATAATTTTTATTTCAAAGACACACAACTCGGTTACTCCTGTAAAAATAATTGATCTGCACTGATTTTCAAAGTCGTCCCAGATATTGCTGATATAAACTGTTGATATAAATTTCATAACAATCCTACAAGAAATGTAGGTGTGGGAGTGCTTACCATGCAATTTTCTATATAATTTATATTTCCTAGGGGCATAACACTTTTAAAAATATCTGATTGGCACACATTTTCAAATTCCTTTAAGAAATTGCTAATATAAACTTTTGATATAAATTTCATAATTATCTGGCAAGAATTACATGTATACATGAGAGCACTCACATGAACGGACGGACAGATACTTGGTAATTCAATATCCCTCACACTACATTGCGCGGGACCTCAAAAATAACTATCATCAACCAAGAACGTAAGGGTTTAACATCACCCTTAAACCATATCTTTCAAGTAAAGTTCATATCATTATGCATTTTGTACTATTACAATTTATCTTAAACCTGAAACTTAACCTTGATTACTCAACCATGAAATTGAGGTCTCACAACCTCTTGCTTTAAAACTATATTTTTGGGTAATTCACATATTGTTGTAAAGTGAAATTACAATATGATATCGCAACTACTTTACATCAAACTACCTGAAACTGAAGACAGGGTACATATGTGTAACAATGGCCACTGAAACATTTTCCTTTCCTTTGATCATTTTACTTGAGTGTACCTGTAGAATTCTAATAAATACGGGATATCACATCCTAATTTTTACGGTAATGTTGATAATAAAGCATGTAAATTTAAATAATATCCACATAACTTATTGATCCTTTATATAAACATACATGTATTCTTAAAATATAAAATTGTAACACTGTAGTTCTTTGAATATGGTTTTTATCAGCAAAAATATTGAGTTTGTTTTTGATAAATTAAAACATAACAAAATATATACTGCTTTGCATTTATTGAAACATTTGGTCCTACATCCTGTCGATATTATGTACTTATATTTTCGCATTGCACTAGGTCATGCTTTTCTGAAACCGTACATGTATATGATGCTTCACACTTAATCTGTTGGATGTGTGCTGGTTGATACTTTATTCTGGGAGAACATGATTTAATTATTTGTTGTTATTGGTTTTGAACTAGATTCACTTATTGTGAGTACTCTTACAGCAGTACAATGTGTCTTTTGTCTTTATGTTAGTCGTATTTTATGCTTTGTGACAATCTATGAGTCTAGCCATTTCCAACTGATTTTTACAGTTTCTTGTTACATCATTGTCCCAGGTAACGTGCCTGTCCCAAGTCAGGAGCCTGTAGTTCAGTGGCTGTCATTGGTTGCTGTCTATTATATCTGTTTTTCATTTATTGTTTTGTTAAAACTTTCATAGATATGTGATATAGGTTTTGCTCAGTGTCGAAGGCTGCAACGTGACCTACATGTACATGTGTTATTGCTTAAATCCACATCATTTGGACTCTGTTTAATAGTTGTCTCATTGGCAATCATATCACATCTCAATATTTTATATAGTTAATATTAAATCCTTAAATAGCCTTTGCAACTAATGGACATACATGTACAGATTAAAACACTATTAGCATAATTGCTTGATGTAAGCAACAAATATTTGCATGCGAAAATTTGAGATATTTTCCGTGATTGCAAAAATAATTCAATTTCATTTGATATAAAACACTCAATATATAAATTTTTTCATATTCATAATTGATAAATGGATGATGAAAAATGAAAAAGAATTGTGAACAACACCATACCTGATACTATATGTATTATAAAGGAACTTCTATTGCATGACAGATGCACCTCCTCTGGCTCACGGGGACCAATAGATAATATGATAGATATATGTATTAGTCTCAGCTGGTAGCCTGGTAGTCATAATTTCATATAGTAATAGATAAAAAATTGGCAGTAATGTATTTATAAATTTTTACATTTTTGAACTTGTATTATATTTCAAACCTTAAACAGAATAAATACCTTCCTTCGAATTTATTTAACATGGTTTTAATCCTACTTTGCATCCATAAGGGACCATACGTTTCATTTAAAGTTGCTGTTTTTGGTACAAAAATAAAATGTGTATTGTTTATGGATTCATCTGCTAATGGTGATAATGAAGAATCTGAGCTCCACATGAATTCTAAAAATCCGGAATTTGGATCAAACACATGAATTATAATTGAGTAATTTGTCCAGTTTAAACAAGGAAATACAACTTTCTGATCTAATCCCCATAATGTGAAAAAAGGAGCTGTATTTCCTGGGTTGAATTGGATTACTTCTCCGTCTTTCAAAACTTTCTTGGTATTCAAATTCTTTCTGCCGATACTATTCTTGAAAGAGATTATGTTTCTTGGCCGAATATTGTTATATTTTTTCGAAACAAATTCAGAAGCGTCAAATTCAAATGAAAATTTTGTTTCCTGATTGACTGGATCATGGACAGCAGTTTTCCCGTAGATTAAAGCTATTTTGAAAACTAAAAATCCAACAAATATTTGTTGCATGTCTACCATTTTCTTATCATGTGACTTGTCATAAAAAATATAAAAATAGAGATATATTGTGTCAAGGATTTGTATAGTGAGATCCTTGATTGTGTGAGTTAATTTGTATAATAAAATTATGATCATTTGCCTCATAAACATCATATTAATCCTTACCTAAGATATGTGTGTATTACTTTGCGTTAGGGGAAAAAAACTATTAACTTCAAAAAGTGTGTGTGGGGATGGGAGGGGAAGAAGCGTCAAGAATCTACAAGAAGAAAAATATTAATGACAAGAAAGGTTATTTACCATTAAAACAATAGACTTATAAAAAAAATTATCTGATAATACTAAGGGTCAATAAAAATAGAGAAAAATGGCAGTTAAAAATATAAAAAAAAATAAAAATTGACCCCCTTTATTTATCCAAACATTCGTGTATACCTTTTGTTTTTTATTAATAATGTAAATATTTGAACCTTTTATTCTGTTAGGAGAGAAAAATTTGTGTCATGTATTTATATATATATATATATATATATATTGACCTTTTGAGTCTGAAATAAATGTCAAGATTATATTATCTTAATATAATTTGGTTTTGAATCTTTGATATTAACTATGCCGACTCTACATTCATATTGATTCTTTCATCATAAACTATGCTGAAAACTGAACGTATATTATCTTAAACATATCCTTGATAATGAAAAAAAAAACAAAGTTATATATACTTTATTCTCTTGTTTCTCGTATATTAAAAAAAAAAGACAATTTAATCTTTAATGTATGTTTCAATATTTATTTATCTACAATAATTAATATTTAGATTTTTTACGCTAAATTTGTTTTCTTGTCACTAAATTATACTTCTTGTCGCTAAATTATTCTTTTTGTCGCTTATTTGTTTCTTCTTGTCGCTTCTTGAAGCTTCTTGTCGCTAATTTGTTTCTTGTTGTCGCTTCTTGACGCTTCTTGTCGCTAATTAGTGATACCCGGTTGGTTGTCTTGTATCACAGTCGCCTGATGATTTCATAATTATAACGAAAAAATGGGGGAAATAAAATATTTTTAGTATACTATATAATACTACTAAAAATATTTTATTTCCCCCATTTTTTTCTCTATAATTATGAAATCTTCAGGCAACTGTGCTTGTATTAAACATAAAATAATGTCCCAAATTCAGAAATGTTGTCCGCCGGTCGGACAAAATTTCATATAAAATATTGTCCGCGGACACTATATTTCACAAGAAATACTGTCCAGGACAATATTTCATTATGAAATAATGTCCTTGTCCATGGAATTTTGTCACCCGAGTTCTCGGCCTGTTCAATATTTTACTACGAAATACTGTCCATGACAATATTTCCAGAGGCGGATTTAGGGGGAGGGCGGGGTTCCCAGGCCCTCCGGGCTTATGAACCTACATTTATGGTTAATCCAGACTTTTTACCTATTCCACTCCAAACTTTGTCTAGTTTGGGGCCCCGGGCCCCCCTTTTTCAAAATCCTGTATCCGCATCTGATTTCACTGTAAAATACTCACGTGGAAATACTATCCATGAAAATATTTCGTAACTTGATCTTATTATGTTTTCACTGAGAAATACTCTGCTATGAAATTGTGAGCATTTCTGGAATTTTTAAAAATATTTTTCATGAAAAGTATGTGTATATAAATTATAACCAGAGACATATCACGGCTGTCATTCGGTATATCGAGAAAAATGATCATGAAAGAATACCTAACGGTGGTCAAGCATTGCGACCGGATCGTGAATGTAATTAATTGTAATTTTACTTCAAAAACTATGAAAAATCTGCTGTATTTTCAAAACGCGGAACAAATCAGGAAAAAAAATGTCTATGAAAATGATTCAACTTTCTCAATAATACTGTGCAATAAGATAAAGAAAATATACAGTACTTTATGAGAAAACACAAATGGCGCAACATAAGTCTATGGATTCATTAAAAAAAGAATCACGTTTTGTACCTATAATGGTGATATATTTGAAACTGAACCTTTGGTGTGTCATGCAGATAGTACAGTAAAATAAAAGGTTTTTTTCCTTGAATCTGTTCATTTTGTTTTTGTAAACATTGAACTTTTTTGATTTTTCATCAAAATTGATCGTGAAAGATCGGGCAACGCATTATCTTGATCGTGAAAGACAAGGCGTGACCAGAAGGGCGCAGGACGTTTGCACATTTTTACCTGTAACACTAAAGGACATTTGCGCTTCAAACACTATGGACATTTGCGCTATAAACTTTGATACACCTGTACAAAATTGACAAGACATTTGCCTATTCTACTTATAACAGTTAACCTGTAATCTTAGAAAATTTACCAAATTCATGCAAAGATATACATATTTTTTCTTTGAAAGAACACACGACAAAACCAGAAAAAAATATTTGGGATAACCAGACATATCATAAAAAATATAGTATACGTTTCTAGGTAAGCGATAGAGAAAGCGAAACTTTTATGGATGGAACATTTAAATTTTGACCGAATTCTTCAATTAGCTACTTAATTAGTGGATTTAAAATTGGAAACTTTATTCCTCTTGTGTCCATTTTGTTGCATGAATAGTCAGAGGAACTGTGCCATCATAGTTCATCTAAGCTTGTTTCAATTTTTGAAGACCGAAATTTTATTTTTAAACCACGCAGACTTTATAATCAGGAAACAATTTTTCTTTTACCAATTGATATACTTGCAACTAGTTGAAGCGTGTAATTATTTTAAGGGTTGTTACTTTCAGTTATATGGAGTGTCGTTTGTGTGTACATAGTATGACAATATTGGCCAATTTATTGTTTATTTCGTGGCTGCGCTGACATCATCTAAAAAGGTACCAAGATAACGTTATTTTACTTGATTGTTTGATCCGTCTGTTCACAATAGCTATTGTACCCAACTTAGTTGGGATATAACCGATCAACGTATCTCGATTGTGCATGATGCCCAGCTTAAACTGTAATTTAGCCGATTAAGTTCCATTCCGAATCTTAAACTTGTATAAGAAATCAAAACGTATGAAGAACGGACAATAGAGTGTTATTGCTTTCAGGTACCTAGTCGGTGAGGTATTATACATATTAAGATAATAAGATCCAATGGCATTGAACGATTATAGCACTATTCACTAATAAAAGAGAACCGGAATGAGTCATGCAAATCCAGTATTTGCTATACCAAATAAAAATGTGAATTATCCTATAATTAAATAATGATTTGAACGTTTTCGTAGCATCAGATCTTTCACGATCCTTTTCACGATCTTCAACAAGCAGTACGCGATCTTTCACGATCCGAAAAATCATTTTTTAGTAAATATTTCATTTTTTGCAAAATTTCTGATTATCCTAAGACAAATTAACGTTAAGAACCATTTGAATCATTAAAATGGAAAGACATTTACAAAGAAAAGTTGTTTAGTCATTCGAATTATGAAAAAAATCTTGTTTGTTTACATATTCAATGTCATTGAAATGTCGAGGAGCAATCTGCCTTTTGTAGTTTTGTAAAAACGGTGTACTTTTAACCTTGATTTTTCTCAGATACTGATCATAATGTTGAACCATTTTGACAGACAGTTTTATTTTTTTGTAAATTTTCCGTATAATTCATTAAATTAGATTAGTAATTGACCTTGCAAATGTCTTCTCGATAAGATTTCATTCACGATCCTATACCAGAGCTTTCACGATCCAATCGCAATACTTGACCACCGTTAGGTATTCTTTCACGATCATTTTTCTCGATATACCGAATGACAGCCGTGCATATATACACACATGTTTATATATACTGTATATGTCTCTGTTATAACCAATTAATTATGCAGGTTTGTCTGTTATTATCAATGATACCATATTGTCCAAAATACTAAATGTTAACCTCCATTTCATGAGACAAAATTGCATGGCATTCCATCTATGAAATATTGTCTGAATATACACAATATATATATAAGAATAACCTTGGATAACCTCTCCTAACCAAGACAAAATTCATATCCATTTATGAAATATTGTCTGTAAATGGACAAAATTTCATATGGAAATTTGCTTTTCTGGACATTATTTCAAGGATGGGGGCAACATTTCATAATACAAAGTCATGAAATATTGTCTTTGGGGACAATATTTTTTTGCATAGAACAATATTTTGCTTTATAGTCTCGCCCATCACGAAGGTCGTAGAATGCGAGACCAAGAGGCGACAGCGTAAACTATTTGTAAATGCTTCATAAGGTAATTTATTTGGATGCTTCATACCAGGGCTGTCAAGTTTTCATGAAGCAAATGCGTGAAATTTGGCAAATATTGTAAAGTACAAGAGAAAAAAATAGATCAAAGGAAAATGCTACAAAATAAGCATGAAAAGTCTTAATTGCGACTTAACAGCACTGTCATACCTTGTACATGCTGTATGCAGATGCCTTATTTTACGAAGTTACCATTTGCCATATATCCATTAGCTTTGACTTCATTTTCATGGCATGGTTTAGTGACTGTTTATAAAATGTTTAGGGTTTTTTGTCATGTGAAATACTCACTATTATGAGTATAAGCCGATGACAATATTTGGTATTTTAGATCCTTGCAAGGTCTAATTGTCCGTCAGACAGTGTTCACCTGACCTCGACCTGATTTCACAGACCAGTGATCAATTTGAAGTATTCGTGGTCACTTTGAATTCATTATCTCAGATACTTTAATAAGCAATAGGTCAACTACGTTTGGTGTATAGAATGATTGTAAGGATTACACGTCCGACTGACAGGTTTCATCTGACCTTGACCTCATTTTCATGGTTCATTGTAATGTTAATTGTTTTGTGGTTTGTTCTGTTTCTCATATACTATAAAGCAAAAGATCAGCTGTTTTGGTGTATTGAATGATTGTAAGGTGTTCACGTATTTCTGACAGGTTTCATCAGATCTTTACATCATTTTCATGGTTCATTGGTTAAACGGAGGTTTTTCATGATTTTCTGTGTTTATCAG